TTGAAGCTTCCTATCTCTTCAACTGACCATTGTCCACGTACATGGAATTTGCTCCAATTCTTTCCACGACACAAACTGACATTCAGTTTTATATCTAAAGCGCAACCGATGCAATTATTTCAAGTCAGACGAAAGATGAGAAGACAGCACTAAATAGATTCCTATGATAAAAATGGATGTAAAAACACTTCTTACAGACACATGGTCACAAGAGTACAATTGCAACACAAATATGGAAAGGTAATGCCTGTTGATTGAATTTGCTTTATTGTATATAGGTTGGGATATAGGAATAGACATTAAATGAAACGAATACACACATTTTTAAAACGAATAATGAACCAGAAGTCGTCATTGAATAGAATGATCAGCCGAGTATTGGAAGCTGAATAAAAATATTCAAAATGACCTCGAACTGCACCTACCTAACAGTAACCTCCTAAATAGTGAACAAAGTCACCAAATTATACACCATAAATGTTTGACAATAGACCTAAAACGTAAGACCTAAGCATTATGATAAATAAGAACGAGGTCAGGAGATGTTAAAGTTTTGCTTGTGGAATATTCAGCAGCAGAAAAATTAATGAAATCAAAGACATTCATTATTTAAAATGATTATTTTAAAGAGCCGTACCATTAAATTGGCTGAGATACCATGAAAACAAACGTTTACTTATTTGGCTCATATTTATGAGCACAGATGCAATGCGAGGCAGGAGCTAATGTACAAGACAGAGCGGGACGCCTAAATATCGGAAGCGTGGCGATAGCGGCAGCCTTGAAAGCTCAAGCGGAGCTCCTGTTCTTTTGTCGGACGACGCTAATTTCAAGATTAATTTTCGCGTTCACTAGCAGCCAGATGATATATTATGCTTCAATCAGCTAAAACTATATGGCTCAAAATATTTTATTAAGGTCTGCTTTTATTGAATGTGCACGCAAATTTAATTTTCGGGTTTCATACCAATTATTTTGTAACAACTAAAGTTATGCTACTTCAAACTTGGCAAACCCACACGAATGGATTAAAAGTGATATAAAAATGAGAATATTTTGTAGTCCTTTGATATGAAAGCTTGATGTTATATATATCAGGTCGTTGTGTAGGACACCGTTTGTCTAGTAAAAGTGTCAATGGAAAATATGGATGACTTTGAAAAGAATCGGTAACCTAACGACGATTCTTTCGTAACTTATTACAATTTTTGAAAGTGGATAGTAAATTTGTAAGAATGCTCGTGAGAAAAATCTTTCTAAAAAGGATGGAAAGTAGCGCGTCTGAATGACGAAAACTAACAATACCCAACGTCATTAAACTAAACGATGTGTACGGATACAAGACTTGACTTGCAGGACACGAAAATTATTTTGACAAGAGAAGACAATCATGTTTCGAGGTCCAGTTGGACAGATGATACTGATATGCAATAAATGAAACCAATTACTGGCAGGTCGCTCGAAGCCAATCGGGCTCAACGACCCATTAAGGAAAGGTTATTTTTCGTCACTTGCTGCAAGGTTACTCAAGAATAACCTCTTCTGTGATGTAAAAAATGGTAATGTCGTTTTATGTAAAGGAAAAAAGTTCAAAATAGATATATAGGCATAGTTAGAGTTTTAGTAAGGCCACTAGAGAATTAATGAAATTTACAAACATGCTGCGGAGATTAACAAGCGGACTCAGCACGTATGTTCTGTAAATGGTTACTCCACGCCGTGTATTGCAAAAGAGGAAGCAAGGAGGCCGATCCAGTCAAATCTGCTTCATAAACTCGATTGTTCATAAGAAAGAAGAAAAAAAAAGTTGACAAGAGATACATGATAGTTAAGAGCTCGCAAGATGCGCCTCATGCGGCGTAAGGAGGGCGCATGCTGCAGCATATTACATGAGCACAGCAAACCAGGAAGAGGAAATTATACACTAGGTGACCTCACTACAGGGCACACAGCTAACTGACCTAACATGCACGTGCACTCGATACATTAAACACTGGCAAATGATCTTGCTCAGTGCTGCAGGCGGTAACCACGAAAACGACTTTTTAATTAGGAAATGCATTCATTGTGTATTAAGTTTCGTCCTATTCAAGGAGATTGCATTGAATGCCCTTGAAAGTGATCATTTCTGGACAACTGGACAACTGATATCTTTCAAAGTTGAATAAAATCGTCGAGTGATTGATCAAAAGACGTTAGTTAGCACATTGCACACTTAATTGTTCCTACTTTAGTATCTGTCTGACAAAGTTTGGTTATATCAATGGTCTACAGAATCATGATACGCTAACGAATGTTTTTGTTTGTTTCTAGTTGATCAAATCATTAAGTGGCTACGGCTGTGACTCGCTTTACATCTGCTTTAATTCCGGCTATTCGAGCACCGCAATCATCCAGCTTCATCAAGAACATGACCGCACGCGGTGAAGGCAAATGCCGCGCTCGGTCGCTCGCATTCATCAATACCACAATAGACTCGACAGATCTAAACAATTATCCTATCTACAAGCTTGCATGTTGTACGTTAGCAAAGATGCGTCCGATCGATTTAAACAAAATCATATTTCAGATGATAAATGTCTGCATGAAAATGAAATATTGAAACACGTTCAATTTTAAAGTTATCTCGGCGTTTATTATCTTCTCATCTTTATACAAGGAATGAACAGATTCAAGCTAAAATAAATGAAAATCAAAAATTGTAAGCGCAAAGAAAATTTCTGGTGCCTAATCTATTTGAAACCACACTTAAACAATGAAAGGGAAAATATGAAGTCAAGATGGGACTTCGAGGCTTAACTTTTTTCAACCATCATGGATATCTTCCTCTACACCAAACGAAGATGAAACACACATGGAAACCAATAGCTTGATAGCATTGCAGAAGCGTGCATGTCCTGAACGCGAATACCGCGAATAAATAGCGAATGTTACGTCAAGCGCTGGCGATATAAGTAATAAACGATCAAAATGATGCCAACCTTTGAGTTCGTAGATCTTTTTTCGATTTCCCTCCGATTGAGGCCGGGTCAATCATAAAGGCAGCGCGTACAAAGGTGAAGGCTCAGGAATTTCAACGGTTTTCGGAAACTTGTGCGAATAAATAGAAAGAGAAGAGAAAAGAGACCAGATGTACCGCGGTGGGGAAAATAAAGCGCCCAACTCGGGTAACCCTTCTGATAGATAGGATAGGAATTAATCCTATTCAACTGCAAGAAATTAACCTTTATTGCAGAGTTTGAAAAATCTAAATGTCAAATAAAAATTGTGCATTACTAATTAATTTTTTCAAGCAGGTTTCATTGAAGACCAGAGAATTTGTTTTATTCGCAATTTTCTTATTAGTTTTTTCAATATATCGAACAATGTGTACATTACTAATTAATTGTATACTTGTTTAAGAACGTCAATCTTTACCGACTTACAATCGGGAATTCCCGTGTACATCGCACGAAATTTGTATAGAAACAATTGACTACATCGTCAAACTAGAATGTTGTGTTGACTAGTAGAGAATGTATCTCTACTAGTTTAGTAATCGAAGAAGTGCACATAAGAAGTAATAAAAAGTGCACATAAGTGGTAGTGCTCAGTTCAAGAACTCAGGATCTCAATTAGCATTATATTTATCATTGTCTATTGCATTCATAAAACAAAAAATGCAACGAAATACTAAAATTATGGCAGGCCCAGTTTCCAGTCGCGTTTGTGTGGGAAGACAGCGAATCAAAATATCCATCCGACCAATAAAACCAGACTTATTATTTCCATCAGATAATATCTTATAATGTAAGAGAATGTTTCACGAAATTTTGGCCAATAATTTTTCAGATCATTCCATGCCTTTTAATTGGAGCAACATGAGCGGTAATATTTTCAGGAAGCAGTTCACTGTGAATTAGCGGAGCCGCGCGTGCATTAGGACAGGACCAAGTTCCAAGTTCTCACAGGACTGAAGCAGAACTCCGGTACAAAAGGAACCAGGTTCGATTTTGCTATCAGGCATTATCTCGTGTGTTTTTAAAGTGAGACACGGGGTGGCCTTTCTGTGGCTCTAGTGATCCATAAGGGGTCTGAGAACGCCATACAAAGACAGGCCTGTGTTCTGCCCAGACCACCGAACTTACCCTTCGATCCACAGAAATATGTGAACTCATTCTGGGTATACAACCAGAACACCATTCGTGAAAATCATCTGAAATTGCATTGAATTTGATAGAATCAAATTTGAATATGCGATCATCCAATTCAATGAGTCTGGAATCCTCAACATTTGTGGCAACTGACGGTATTATACAGGCGTACCTACATGTGTTGAAATACTTCTTCCGAAAAACTTCTAGTAATTCTTGAATTGCACACTGACCACTGTACAACACAATTTAACTTGACAAGTTCTGCATGAATTTCATCAACATTGATTATTCACAATACCTACGTAAACACCCTCTTGAAGTGGCCGAATACGAAAGTATATTGATCGGACATTACGAGGGCCAAAGTGACAAGGAAAAGAAATTACCATAAATTTCCCAAAATTTTGAGATGCTATCTCTTCCACTTCAAAAATAGTTTATATCAGTTCTGTCACTCGTTTCTCTAGTACGCGTATAGGTCAGTCAAACGCACCATCGCATTGCACCCGTCAATGATTGAAAACAATGACAAGCTGCGAAAAAATTCTGAACGTAACGTTTAATGTAATTTTTTAAACAGTTAAATTATATTCAGCGAAAGATTTGTCTTTCAATTCAAGACTTTTTATTAAGCAAAATGAGCGTAATAAAGAAAGAGCGGACTCGTTGCTCTAAATTATCATTCAAAATAGAGGACATTTTAAGAACCAAAAAACACCAATCAACCAAAAGGAAGTAAAAAATATTCTATACAATTGCAAAATTATTCCGAGTCAACAATATACAGCACACAATTTTAAATTTTAATATTCCGAACTCTATAATATAAACAAAATCATTCAAATTTTAAAGAAGGAAGCTTACCTAATTTCATTCCAGATGATGATAGAGAATCCAGGAGAATATTTTCTTCCCTGTAGAAGAGAAGAATCATGCAGTTAGTAGAGAAGAAACCTGATATCCATAAGTTAGTTAGAAAAGTAGAAATTACACTTGAAGAGTCAGTTCGAAAAGGAAGAAACAACTCGTTTTTGTACGCAAATCTGTGACTTTTAGCGAAAACATATCAAGTTAAGTAGTAAGAGATATGTTAACTCAGCGAGTTAACTCAAGTTAACGTAAACTTAGCAGTAAAGAATGAAACAAATTATGTTCGAAAATGCTTTTCCGATTGAGTACAGCAGTAAAGAGTGAAAAAATTACGTTTGAAATTGCTCTACCAAATGAGTACAAACACCCAACGCCGAGTGTTCACCACACATGAGCTGTCAGCGGTCATGTCAGAGCCGCAAGCTCAGCTCTGGTCACGGAGCGGAGCCAATGCAAAGTTCGAACAAACCACAACAATTTTCACGGTTTAAACTTAGGGTTAGTGATATAAAGGTAAGGTCAAAAAGAACCCGGTTTTATTGGCACTTAAAAAATACACTGATCATATCAGTCAGTTTCACAAAAATTAAAAAACCTGACAAAACGCAGTAATCCCAGGCAGTTTGGCCCAGGATTTAAAGTCGCTTTTTCGAATTGGGTTTAGGCAGAACAAAAAAAATTCATGATAATAACATGTTTTTCATTCTTCTTCATTAACTTACCAATTTATTCCTAGTGCTGCGTGATTATAAACGATTCACGTATTTCTATAGTAATCTCCTTGAAGCATTTATGGAAGAAAGCTTTCAATCAAGATAAAGTTCATGTGCCTGATTTCAAGCAACACATGACATAAATTGCAAAAATTAAAGTAAAGACAAGAAAAGCTTCCGTTTAGACACTTGTATCTGCTGGATGATGGAGACTTAAGACTAAAAATTCAAGAAATATCATTCGTCTCGCAGGATATAAATTCGTCAAGAGAAAAATCCATAACTTATCGAGAAATTTTGAAATTTAAAAAATCGAATGATTGGGTTGAACATCGCATTAAATCTCATAAACGTGCGATTCCTTTATAAAAATGTGAAATTTGCGTAGGACAAACAGTGTAGATTCGGATTATTTGCTAAAAATTAAGATAAAGCCCTAGCACGCGCATTGAACTTGGCCCCCTGTCGGGAATAGACGCAAACAGAGAAATATCATATACGCAAACAAGGAAAGCTTCAACTGATGAATTTCAGTCCGATTATTTGATCATTTAGGACTCTGGTCCCTAATTGATAATGAACGCAAGCGTGATGTTACCAAGACACGTTGCATTGATGGTCAGATACACGCCACGGGATTACCCGCCACATGAGGGCAAGAGAGGGGAGGTGTGTCGGACCCGCCCCTCTCATAGTGACGCCCTAGGGCACAAAGACATGTGATCGCATGACCAACGAGGGTAACTTTCCCTTGGTAGCGTCCGTGCCCAACGGAGGGTCACACATAATGCGTACAACATGACCCTTCAAAAACGATTAAAAATCTCGGAGCAAATTCTAGCCAAAAAAATTCTCGCCATATGGCCACGGACATCCCATGAAGAATGAATTTTACCACGTTTACCGCAGTGACACATCATTTCGTGCAGGCCTACATGGCACTAATGTTCGCTAACACATTGCACTGTTCATGTTGCAAATAAATTGACAATTTCAACAATACTGACAGAAAATGTGTATAACTATGAAAGAAATGAATTTAACAAATTTTTTGAGGCTAAATGAAATTAAAATTCTTCGAAAGAATTTCAAAATTATTATGATATATATAATAATTGTAAAATTATCTATATAAACATTAGAAGCTCGAGCCAGTTCCGCAAGCACGTAGCTAAAGTACAAACCTAAACGGGTCACACGGTAAGCTCCGGCGCTCGTTTGAGATCCCCTCGAGAGCAACTCACAAAAACCACGCAAATCAATAATTAAAGCCGAGCTTATCTCTTTGTGCGAGATGTTTACAATAAAAGACCAGGCTGCCCGGGTCGCCCTCAGATTCGCCTCTGGATGCTCAAGCAATCAAAGGTCAGATGAACTGGATCGATGGCAGGAGTTGCAGCGAGTAGGGAGCCGTATGGTAGCCAGCCCATGTCGTGCTGGGTTCAAAGTTCAGCAGTAAATACACTCTTTTACGTTCACAATTTTTTTTGCTATAGTTGGGCAAATTCTCGCTTAAATTGAGTAATTGCACAATATTTGCGGGCTTAATGCGCTCTATCAATTTGCAGAACATGTTGCAATTACGCATGCGAAAATGACAGCAGACGAGTTACTAGACAATTTAAACTGATGACAACAGGTATACATATATACAGCACACAAGAAAGATAATAGGTCAGCAAAATAACAAAAAGCTGAGTTCTGAAATGCTTAGCATCGCACGCTGAACAGCGATGTCGAGACACATCGTAACAATGCAAGACGGCTGGTACAAAACGCTGATATGAATACATGAGAATAGTTTTTCAATTTTCAATTCAGCAAAACAAGTTAAAACAAAATAAAATAAACTGGGATAGGGCTGTTTAATGCCCCTACTTAAAATAAATGTATTAAAATAGAATTCTGAGGAGCCGTAATGAAGCTTTCACGATATAATTTTTTCATACACGCAGCACTATTACCGAAATTTAAGCTTCAGAAAAGAAGAGTAAAATTTAGAGAACAATATCACAAAGAGCTTTTTACGTATTTGTTATGAATGTAGAGAATACATTTACCTTGGACAGAACCACAACATTAGTGGTAAAGTTTCACGCAATTTCGACAGATAACATAACATTTCCTAATCATGTATAAAGGTTAAACCGCATTAGGCTTCACAGATATGAATTGTATGGCCTGGTCGCGTGCCGGAACAAGAGGCTGTCTTGAGAGGCACAATGAACCACATCACGGAGCTTCGTTTGGTAATGTATGCAAGCGATCGCAAACTCTGCGCGCCATTATGAGCCCACAGTTTTTTGCATGGATCAGGCACAGAAGTCTGACCTGGCGACTATATAAAAGCTTGAGTCACCCGTGCCGCTACACAAGCACCACAGATAAGTCAAATGATGCGTCCTCATTCATCGCACGGCTCACGGCTTCAAGAACCCTACCGATAATAGGCAACGTGAATATTGAGTTCAGTCTGACACCAAGATTTAAATGTGTATAATAAAGTAAATTAAAAAAAAAAAAGATTGTATCGGTGAACATCATAGTCGATCGACCCTATAACTAAAACGAATGGGATACAACTCATACGAAGAATATTGATCAGGAAGCTATTAGCTACAGGATACAATTGTACGGAACAACTGTGTGCCTTATTAAAAATGAGATATCGGCGAACCAGAGCACACATGCTTTCTAGACAGCACATGTCTCTCGAACCGGTTCCCGTACTGTCCGTTAGCGTGGGTATATGGTGCAAGACAGTATCACGTGCCTATCAGAACACAAGGATAGGGATTTTGCTTGCATGTTTAATTAAATCGTGGTTTAAAACTAATCAAAAATGAAGAAGCTATAATATCAACATGACTAAATGTATCTAGCCTTAGTCTTATTCGTTAATGCAAGCATGAGTGCTAGATTAGAGAGTGATCCACGACGCTCTCAACCCAAACAAACGCTAAAGAATTAACATTTCTCAATGTAAATCTAAACACGATTAACTTTATTGAAAACAATTGCCTGAACCTTCACTAAAAAAAAGAACTATAAATATATACAGAAAGAATATTTGTAACAACAGACTAACTTAAGCATTTTAATAGTTAGTTAATAAAGGGCAAAGGGTTACTTTTGAATTAGCATTGAGTGTAAAATAAATGCCTCGTCAACTCGTTTAATATGTAAACGAAAAAACGCGTCTATCAGTTTTTCGTATTACAATGGTCGGTCATCGCGTCCTTCTCACATACCAAAACTGAACTTCTTCATCGACATAAGACAATTTCCAGTGACCTGGGAGGAATCAGAATTTGAGCCCATGTTCAGTCACACGATTTATCAGTTGTGACTGATGAGATGCGGGCATCTAAGGAGACATGACGGGTCAACGAAAAAAACTTGCTTGCTACCTGGCTTTCCACAGCGGCGCCAGCCGCAATCACCTTACAAATTTATGACCCGTAAATAATTAAGAATTTATCTAGTACGGCAGAAATGCTAATTACTTGGCCCAAAACGTTGGTAAGAAATATGTTTTCACATATTGCATTGGTAAACATGAGACAAATTTGGACTCGGGTTTACATCGCGGCGCTATCGAGTGTCAAGCAGTAGTCAAGTCGGGAAATTATTCGATTTTCCATGAGGTAATATTTCTTTATAATTTTAAATTTACTTTAGTGTAGTGTTTTTTTATACTGCATTTAAGAACAGGTTTACTTTACGCATTATTCGAGAGATACAACAAAAAAAATTGACTATGAAATAATTACAATTTACAGGTAACAAAAGGGAAACAAAGTATGCCGGTGTTTTTATCAGACGTGTCAAGGATACCACTGACATTCTTATTCGGATTAATCTCCCGAAATAGGCCAGAGAAAAAACAATACCGATTAAATAAGAAGGAGATGTTCAATTGTTCAAGACATGCAGCTCGTATTTCACGCTTGGTCATCCTATTACTGATGTACGTAACGTCAATCTTCGAGAGGTGTCCAGGACATGTCAAATGGCACAACTGACCTATACCGAACAGTACCGACAGTATCGCACAATCCAGTCGAGAACACCTCGACTTAAAAGTGGCAAATAAGTGATCACATTTTTATACAAACGAAATTAGTATAAAGCTAAATGGAAACTAAAATGGAAACAAAACCCACCGACTCTGAACAGCACGACGCAATTTATTGCCTCCGGACATCCAAAGACTTGGCGGACACCATTTATCCGGCGATGTCTTTGGAACCATAGGCTTTTACCATCTAGGTACCTATAAATAGAATTCGTACGTAGATATATCGAAGACAGCGGGTAGCAAAACGTCAAACATTAAAACAGTAATAAACAGAATTAACTTATTTTGTGTTGAATCACCTGATCAAGAAAACAAGGATAGCCTGACCTAAGTTTGATCACGGGATGTGATTAAAAGAATGATTCAATTTTAATTGTGAAAATTAACTGCACGGCTTTTAAAAAAATTATGATAGGTAGTTGTTTTATTTAGCATGAAAGTTGAGCAACTCAGTTCAGTAGATTCGCTACGTGGTTGACGGATTGCAGCGTTTACCGAGCATCTCAATGAAGAGTTCCGTTGAGATAGCAGCAGGCTGATGTTTGGTAACCTTCGGTGAGCACAACTAAATTTGGCGCCGGCAGCAAATGCAGATAATTGCTGGCTACTCATAATACCCCATAGTTGGCTATCCCTATTTCGCTGGACCTTCTAGAAATGCAGGCAGGTTAGTAGTTCTAAGCAACACTGGTCACTGGAACCCCCTTGGTTTCTAACTCCGGGAATCGACCACGACAAAACTTGTCAATTGTGAATCGCGAACATAATTTCAAAGCTCATGAGAAACGAATTTAATGGCTAGCTGCGGGACGCATATTGTATTGCGTGCATAACATTTACCGCACTGCAATGGCAGCTTGGGAACAGCGACAGGGCGCTTGACTGGACACAATGAACAATATGGATAGATGGGAAATGCTTACTACTTTGAAATTCATTACCTTATTGAACGTTCTTTGAGGAAATTTGATTGTAAACTGTTTATTAATCAAGTAAAAAACACTTCACATATCACTTCGCTCGAGACAACACTCAATTTTTTTCAAGTAACAATATTTAAGTATAATTAAAAGATATAAATTTCACAAACTATACATCTTGTCGGAACAGGCAAATAGTTAATGATAATTGCAAAACTCATTTATCAGGATTTAAAATATATCCGTCACCTTATACTTTAGAATAACCTATTATGTATGGCAGTTTTTGTGAGCACAACTGAAATAAGGAGCCCGTATGTGCCCCTATATGGAGCAGCGCGGTGGCGGTGCAGGGGCGGCGGTGGACCACAGCTGCTCAGCGCAGTTCGTACCAGCAACGCTGCAGAGGAGCGCTCCAGACCTCCAGCTCTGGGCGGACTGGTGCAAGGTATCGAGCGTGAGGTAATTAAAAAGCTCGTACATGATTTATTAATGCTATAAATCTTATAAAAACGATGTAAATAAAAAATAAAATATTTCCATAAAACTTCTGCTTGAAAATTTAAGTACCGGTAACGAAGTTGAAAATCATAAGCTAATTCACTCTGGAAAAACACTTTCATGCCGAGAATATTTGAAATTATTCATTTACACTATTTATCAGAACGAGTCGTGGATGCGAGAGGTCGTCGAAAAATTTAACGCAGGCGTTGGTAAGATGATCTAAAAAGAAGCAACTTGTTTAATGCGTTGACAGGGTCACGAGACACGGGTTCGAAAAGCGTAAATGCCTGACCAAATGCCCATCTATTTGGCTAGTCGAGGTGTCTTTCTCGGAGTAGGGAGAAAAAGTCAAATCTAAGTAAACACAAATGTGTTAAACCTAAATCAACAAGATCTTGATGTCAGTTTAATGACAAGGAGGTCAGATTTGCCAAATTTTTGATACAAGGTCACAGGATGAGAATTTTCAAGGCGTCTAAGTTAGGACACGCGGCGAAGGAATCTGTGGGGCGAGCGAGCGAAGGCTGCGGGCAACAGCTGCAAGAGCGTCCGCCAGCAACAGCTGCAGCTGCCGTCTACAGCGCCAGCACGCCACACATAAAAAGCAAGTACGTTTATGGTACGATTATTTCCATTCGCAGCCTTCAAAGAGGCCACAATAAAACAGTAAATAGAGCAAAATGTAGCAATCAAAGTAACTGACTTTTATAAGGTCATTGACTACAACCAAATACATTTCGCAGCACAACTTGAGAGAAATTTTCTGTTAGCATTGAGTGGACCGAAGCAGCAAGTAACGGAAGGATGATGACTACGGTTTCGGAGATGTTGGCGCACTTTTCAACTCGGTTAAAACCAGTCATATCTTCCTTCGCGCGTGTTCGACCTAAAGGATAATATTTCAACCATTTAGCGTGGAACCGGAGTGCAACTTACCGAAAGCCGTGGATAATTAATTAATTACGGACACAAAAAGGAATTTTATTATGATAAATTTGACTAACGTAACAAATTAAATTACGTTTCTTCAGAGAAATGGTTCAGCATTAAATGACTCGGAGAGCACCAGTCTCATCACCCTGTGTACTTGGAACAACCAAATGCTCAGAAGATCCTGTACATCTTTTCAAACCCAGGAGGTGCGTCGTTATAGATAATCGCCGTTTGACACGGGTATTTGAAACGTCGCCTTTGGACACCATTTGGACCAAACGTTTGCTTTGATATACAGTGATGCTCTAGCTGGGGTCACGAATTACAAGAACAAATAAAATATACCTTCATATCAAGTTTATATGTTTAGAACTCGGTTAACAACAGGTGGGCTGAAAAGACGTCCTAGCTATTTTCATTACTTTGTATGTAGCCACTTTTAATTTTCTAGTAGTTTGCAGTCATTAATTAGTACGCAGCAGATGCTAAGCGTCCTGACTTCCAAACTGAAGAGGTACTAAAGAAATTAACATAATTTATACAAAAAATACGGGGCGAGATCCTTATCATCATATGCACTAAAAAGGAAAAGGCTGCGCGAAAAGCAGCGGAGATAAGCAAAGAAGCGTGGAGGGGGGATGACCAGAGCAAAATCAATTGAAGCTCGCCTTATACAGGAAAAAATCCTCGCATTGAGTGAGGTTCGTGACCTGCACCTACGCTTCCCCTGCTCACACCACAACCTGTTCTGACCTTCCCAGTGACCTGACCTCAAGGACACGCGTCCTACGTAAGCGTGAAGGGCACATCACACGCACATCTGCACCCACACACCACAGCCACAGCCGCCTTGCCTTTTCTCATCACAAGTCGGAATTAGAAATTTTCCCACACTGACTCTAGTAGAGAACTTATACTAATCACAGGTGCTGTCATGAAATACACATTGAATTAATACCTTTTATAAATGATAAAATAACTTGTTCTTCCAATCAATTGCAAGAGAACATCCTGTGAGAGGATAAAGTAAAACTTGAACCTCGTGTTGTGTATATCGTGAAAATCGGAGTTTTCTCGCGGTATCTCAAGTTGAGACTAATGTGGTTTGGGTTCAAAGATGCGGGGAAAGCAGCCAGACAAAATTACCGGAATCGATGAGTTAAATACAACATCGCCGTCCATGTTATTCCCAAGTGGTTCCGTTGGAATTTAATCGCAAAGAGACACCCTAAAAATTCTGTACAGCTTCGTTTCATTTCGCAGCAGACAAAACTACTTGAAAGAAACAGAAAGAAAAATTAGATTTATACTTGCGAGTGCCGTGGTTATGTAGCCAAAAGTAAACCACTTTCTACATCTTACCCTGAATAGTTAATAAAAACATATAAGAGAGGAAAATACCTTGATTGACATCGTACTGCAATGGTCTAATTATCAACACTTCTGAAGTTCCAGACCATGCACCGAATTCTTGTTTGCCTGACAAATGCCTCGAAAAATTTGTGTCGTAGATAGCTAGTCACTGGATTCTCTGAAGCGAAAAGCGAAAACTGAATAGCCTCTTCTACCTTGAAAATGTATGCTAAATGCCAATAATAGGATAATTAAATACGGGAAATTCTAACATAACTCTAATCAGAGGAATCTTCTACAACCATGCCATAAATGTACATAACTTTGTATACTGAACATCGTGTACATGCACTTCCTACTGCTTCTTAGCGAACCTTTGAGTAAACAGTGTGTGTTCAGGAAATCGACATGTCAGCATTCGTCTGACCAATGCCATTCACGTAACTTCATACCGTGCAGAGGTTAGGTTCAACTTAGGTTATCATGTAATGGTCAGGAGAAAAACGCCTGAATTGACTGCATAGTGCAGACATTATCGAGTTTAAGGTCATTAGAAGAGAATTTCATTGTCAAATAATAAGCACAATGGAGAGGCATCATAAAGTTTTACATAGCTGCGTTCTAACCAATTAAAAGCAACCTCCGAAAAAGTGAAGTTTACACCGGACTTTTACAACATATCTTGAGTTATTGTATGTAATAAATCGAAATTAGGATAAACGCTCGGTCAGAAAAATCTCCAAATCTATACGCGTCCACGTGAAAGATTTAAAAATCACACTTGACTGTCTCACACAGCAAAACAATTTAGGTAGCCTATACGTCGTGGTACGGGTACCACAGCAAAGATAGGTAGGTCTACCATCGAAGTCGTAACAGTATTTTCAGCCCCTAACCACAGGCACAATGTTATGAACGAGTAATGCTGCATGAATGAATAATGCTGAATGCATCAATTAATGCAGCATGAATGGGCAATCATGAATGTACAACAAATTACAAATAATATAATTATAAAAGAAGCGAAAGCAACTATTTCAATGCTGCCAATCATAAGTTTAATCTAATAGTCAATATTTTAAACACTAAACAACGCAATAATTTGAGCGGAATAGAATAACAATAAGGAATCAAGAAATTAATTAGGAGGTGGAAGTTGAAACTTAGGTAGGTAGCACTGCACGTACAACGTAAGTCACCTCTAGGTTCTACTGACCATGGAGATAGAAGCCCCAACTTGTTAGTCAACTCACCACGCTTAAAATATCACAACTGAACTCAACAAGGCTTACCTGAGCAAAGGCCTAGCGAGTAGATCTCTTGACCACGAGCGGAATTCTAATTGCCGATAGGTAAATCCCGAATTACACTTTTCCTTCTAACCTAATACAACTTATTCAGGATGACAAATCCGAGCTTAGTTTAAAGTAATAAACACGAATTCTTCTCTAAGTTGCATTTCTCACGAAGGAATCCGATTCAATAAGCTCCACAAAGTAGAAGAAAAGTAAAAGAGTTTCACAACGGCGAAGAATAACTCAGTCGAAGAAAGTAACAAAATAATGGATTTGGAGCACTGACAACACAGGAGAGAGGTAAGACGTGCGCTATCACTACGCTCTCTGTTGCATTACTGAACCTACACAGTTCAAGTGAGCCAACCTTTACCCTGACCCTCCCCATGCACTCCTCCCTCCCCGCCTCTTAACTTTACTCCTCCCCATCACTCACGAATAGAGAGACGCTACAGTTCACAGCACCAACGTTTGTCGACCGTTATCGCTGACGCAAACAAGTTCACGCAAGGAAATGTGCAATAGGTCATCCATTTCAAGTATTATAAGTGGTCACTCACGTATATCCTATAACAATGAAAAATTAATGACTAATTAATTAGTTCCTAATTCCAATGAAAAATATTCAGATTTTTCAATGCATGTAATGAGATCATCGGATCCATATAGATTATAGATAAATGAAATGTCTTTGGAATCGAAATAACTTTTTTGCCAATAACTTATGTTTCGCGTATCGCGTTTGCTGCTGCATGCGACGCACTGGAAAACCGAAAAAAATAACCGATCACCGATTGACCAGAGATGGAAAACTAAAAAAAAGCAGCTGCTTTTCTAATTGTAGTTAGACGCAGCTGCTACACTGCATCACAACTAGTATCAAAACTCAGCAGATGAGAAGTATCATGCATGTAATGTTAGTAATATCTCTTTTCCTTGCCTTCTTATCTTTTGCTCAGTGCCCGGGAAAATAATTTCTCAATTATTTTTGCGCATAGCATATCTATGCTGATGAATGAGGTTCACAAGCACGCATAAAGTAGAAATCTCATATGAAATAATATCTCTCATATGAAATAAGATCTTTTTATTTTTCGCAAAAAATTATATGGGTCAAATTTTCTTTAGTTAAAATATATTGTATTATTCCTTCAGTGTTCCGAATAAATTTTTAAAAGTAAAATTGAATTGTCCAGCATCAAGTTCAAGATACGTTGCTTCCGTGTATTTCAATCATAACGATTCTGTTTCGACTTTCGAGTAAAGATATAAATAAGATTTTAGTACGAATTTCATTTTATTCCTGATGTCCATTTTTCCATCTATAACTATTATGTAATTATTTATTTCAATCCTAATTCAGTTGCGATTCATCGAATGTTATCAAGAGAAATGCACCTCCCGCTTTCATCACCGGCCCCTCCCTCCAGCCCACGTGAGCTGGTCCAGAGTTCACGCGTTGTGTGGTTATTGCGAGCAAACATGAAACGCGTCAAAAAAATACTAACGCATCTCAAAAGAAAATTACAGCAAGACTTCATTCACTAACTATGACTACTCTAGAAAAGTAAATTTACAAGTTAGGAATAAGTTTTGGGAGGGAAATATAGTTTGGCAATTCGTTGTCACAACTGGCGCGCGTAGGAATGTCGAGCACACAAGAATTTCCTGGATTCTGGCCTGTGATGGCGAAAGAATTTCATGCCCTGACCAAGGAGGAGCCGGGCCTCCGACCGTTCGGGTCAGTACAAGATGGCTGAGCTTGGGAGAAATTCGCTTCGAATTTTTCTTACATTCTGGGAAACTAGGTTATGAAAAATTGTTTCTTACAGTTACATGAAACCTGTTAATTTTAGTAGCAATGATTGTAATTTTGTTTAAAGTAACTGAAAAAAGTGATAAATATGTAATCAGAAATTATGTGAATTTGTCATTATTTCCCGTTTTTAATAAAAGCTAAGTAAACACAATATCTGCGACTAGACATGCTTGCCCACATCCCGCCAATATTCACCAGCAGCAGCTGCTATAATACTGATGAACGTGAATATTTTAAGCCTCTGACATTGAACCAATGAAACTATTCGTCATACATTCTTATATATGACTCCACGAGATCGTGTGCAGTATGCAGTCCAAAGTAATTGGGGAAATTCATGTGTCTCGTAAGCCTCTAATCATTGAATCCTTTTTGCTGGTACAATTTCTACGATTGAAATTAAAGCGCTTGCATGTGATTGAAAACACAACGGTTATTCGTTGGTGATGCTGATTAGTGAAATTTTGTGTTACTTGTAAAAGGTTCTCCAGTCGTAAATCATGTCATGACTGCAGTCCCTATCAACATACACTGAAGGCCTTTCAAAGTTTCTTGTTTTATGGCAAGTTGTGTCAACCGTTGGAAGGATATTATTTCCAATTAGGTTTCAATCTTTGCGAATCGTGAAATTGAGCTTATGGAATTCATTGACAGATATGTGCTCAGTAATGTCAATGAGATAATATGAACCGTTTGCTAATGCTTGGCTATAACTCGACTGAAAACGAAAAAACTCGAAATGCATTCAACTACATATTGCCTGTTTTGTGCGCTGTCCAGCAGAGCAACTCGCAGCTGCATTAAAACTGGCTCAAAATTTTCGCATAAAGTACGTTCGAGAGAGAAACCAAAAGGCCAATTGTAAAAATAAATACGAGGGTCTCGACATAAAATGGAAAACTGACCGCCAAAAAAACTGGAGGTGAGCCTCGGCGGCTGGCTAGGTTAGGTTCGGTTGGCCCAAGTGCAGCAATGCAGGCTGGCCGGCTGGTGGGCATTCAATAAGTAGGTCTCGGCGTCTTATTCATCAACTTAAGAATCGTTCTGGTAGAAATATTTGTTTTCAATATCTTTTATGGAGGATCAGCGAGGGGATCACCCGATTGAGAAATAAAAGTTCAAACTTGAAAAAATATACATGTAATCGAATCGGTTTTCCGGTTTCCTAAAAAACTTTTTTACTATATTTTTTGATTGATTAGGTAAATAATTACAGATATCGATAAGAAATTGGAATGGTTTCTGTGTAATTTCTATTTCATAATATTTAAGTCGTCAAATCGGAAGGAAGAAATTTAGGGAAGTATAATTTGCGGTTAGGGGTTGGGTATTGTTCTCAGAAATTCCTACGTTTCGTTTGCAACCTTAATTATTTTGCAACCTTGTGAACATAGATTCTGTACGTTGAAAATAAGAAAAAAATATTTCAAATATATAATAATAGACATAAACCTGATACACTGTAATTCTACATCTACGATAAAGATAAAGTTGGTCGATCCTTTATAAAATTTCGAACGTTTTTATCAACTTTCCCACTGCACTAGATGAAATTAAGGAAATATCAAGTCACGTCTGGAATGATTTGATAAAAAATATTCGTACTATGTTGGAGCAAAAATAATTATAAATTTGTAAAATCAGCGAACGATGCTAGGATGGTAAATTATTTTATTAATTTGTGTGTGTGCAATAATGGAAATTAATATTACTTCGCACTAAGATCAGCAATGAAAAAACGAATGGTTTGTAAGCATTTTTTTCTCTGAACAGAAACTTAGATATAGCAGGATAATTGATACAATTCCGCTATACGATAATGAAACTGTCAATTATTTATAGATGTAGGTTATGAGCGAGAGCGGAATCAGAAATCCTTGCCATCACTCATCGCGACGGGATATCACATTGTACACATACGCGCTATACGTACTATGGGAATTCGCGACCAAAAATAGTGGAAGCGAGAATGAGGGGCGAACGTAGTCGTTAGGGCAAATATTGTAGTGACGACGAGGAGATGTAATTTGCATAGGTGCTATGTAGTTGGTCCAGCATAGATGCTTTATTGTTGAGCCTACCGTCCACTGCACAATAGCCCAACTGACCAGACTGCATAGCTTAGCATCAAAGGAGCCGAAGAGCCTATATGCAGCGTTCTCTTTCAAAGGCAAGCTGCTCAATGCACAGGAGAAAACAGGGCGCTTGGGAGTTTTTCAAACCTTTTTATTGAAACGGCCGCGTAGTGTGCGTGCATGTAGATTTTTTCAAACTAGGTTAACGAAAATATTGTTAAGTGACCGGTGTGAAGGTAGGATGCAGCCATCTAGGACAGCTGTGGGGTGGATGGGTGAACTGGTCAAACACCAAAGACGCTAGCGTGCTTGATCCTCTTCCCAATTGCATTGCTAGAGCTTTGAAGTTCACCGGCCATGTGAGTTGATGTGAGATTTAACCACAGAAAAAATTATGAAAACCTGGTTTTGGCTTAGATATGTCGTTGTTAACGGTCAGATCGGGTGTAAAGGTAGTCGAAGCTAATGCGATATAAAAAAGTAGTCACAATATCTGTAAAATGATCTTCTAACTGACAATTTTTTAAAGAAATTTATTTGACGGGATGAAATGGACTTATTTCAAAGGGTCTTGAACGCTTATTGCTGGACATATTCTGGTCAGTCGTAAATCTTGAACCGGTTTCAAGCACATTCGTTTTTCTGTATAATTTTATATCCTAAAATGAATGAATGGTGCGTTTTCAGACAAACAAATCTGAATCTGGTCTACATAGTTTATGCTGTTTGCAGCGATATACTTGACAGATCTCTTAGGAAAAGATGATTTGCCGATAAATTATGGCTGTTGAGCATACGAATATGGCAGCATACATATAATATTCTAAGCAGTGATCTGACCAGTCTTTTTTCCAAATTATAATTCGCTCTCAAATGTTATCTCTTGCAAAATATCGTAAAAATTGCTTTAACGATGATCATTTAATTCGACACACTAACAACAACATTTTAGTTCGTTATGTGTCATTTTAGTCCGTTATATTAGAATGAAAATTGCCATTCGGTAATACCCTCGCCGAGCGAAGGAAGAGGATTCTGTATGTCTATGGTGTCAGGCGCATTGAATTGCATCAAACGGCAATTATGCAAGGAACTGTGATGCACCGGACGTTTTTTGAAGGAACTGCGAGGACCTACAAATGTTGTTGATTCAAAATCAGCTTCAAACCTCCCTTCATTTTAAATATTGCTCGCCTGTCTTATATATGAGGTGAAGAAGCACCAATATCACGTTTGTCTAGGCTTATAGATCAGATTAAATAGCTTCTATAATAGTTGCGGTCATGGGTGAACCATCGGACGCTGGAAAACCTTTTGTATGGAAACGAGCTGCCCTCTTCGGGAAATTTTCATCTGGCCATATTGCTCGGGTGCTGGACAATGATGGCATGCATTCAAAAGTGGAAATTCTTGCATGATTTTACAGCAAT